CATTTAGCATCTTAACCACTTTTTTTTTTTTAAGATTTATTTTAGAGAGAGAGAGAGCACGTGCAAGTGGGGGGCAGGGCAGAGGGAGAGAGAATTTCCAGAAGACTCCACACTGAGTGTGGAGCCTGACATGGGGCTTGATCTCATGACCCTGAGATCATGACCTGAGCCAAAACCAAGAGTTGGATGCTTAATTGACTGAGCCATCCAGGTGTCCCTAAAACATTTTTTTTAATGTGTACAGTTCAGTGGTATTAAGTACTTTCTAACCATCATCCATCCCCATAACTCTTCTTGTCTTGTGAAACAAATTCTGTATCCATTAAACAGTAACTTCCTGTTCTCCCCACCCCCGAGCCAGGCAACCACTGTTCTGCTCCCTGTGTCTGTGATTTCAGCTATTCTAGACTCCTTCTATCGGTGGATTATACAGTATTTGTCTCTTTGCTGCCTGGTTTATATCACTTCTCATAATTTTTGAGAAAATCCATATTGTCGCGTGTGTCAGAATTTCCTTCTTTTTAAAGACAGAATAATATTCCATGATGTGTGTATGCCACGTTTTGTTTTTCTGTTCGTCCATTGATGGACGCTTGGGTTCCCCCATGTTTTAGACACTGTGAACAGTGCTGCTGCTGATACGGGTGTACTAACATCTCTTCAAGACCCTGGGTTCAGTTCTTTCGGGTAGATACCCGGAAGTGAAATAGCTCGATTATATGGTATCTCTATTCTTAATTTTTTAAAAAAGATTTTATTTATTTACTTGAGAGAAAGCCAGAGACAGAGCGTGAATGGAGGGGGAGGGAGAAGAGGAAGAGGCAGAAGCAGGCTTCCCGCTGAGCAGAGAGCCTGCTGCGGGGGCTCGATCCCAAGACCCTGGGAAAATGACCTGAGCCGAAGGCAGACGCTTAGCCAGCTGAGCCACCCAGGCGCCCGTCTATTTTTAATTTTTTGAGGAATTTCCATACTGTTTTTCCATAGTGGCTGCACCATTTTACATTCCCACCAACAGTGCAGAAGGGTTCAAGTTCTTCTACCCCCTTGCCAATGCTTGTTGTATTCTGGTTTTAAAAAATATAATAATTATCTTCATGGGTGTGAGGTGGTATCTCATTGTAGTTTTGATTTGCATTTCCTTAATGATTAGTGGTGTTGAGCAAATTTTTTTATGTGCTTATTGATCATTTATCTGTCTTTTGGAGAAATGTCTATTCAAGTTCTTTGCGTATTTTTTAATTGGATTGTTTGGCTTTTTTTGGTTGAGTTTGAGGAGCTCTTTCTATATTCTTCATATGAACACCTGAACGTAAATCAGATACATGATTTGGGAATGTTTCCTCCTATCCTGTGGCTGCCTTTTCACTCTGGATCATGTCTTTTGATGCATAGAAGTTTGTTATTTTTAAAGTTTTAAAATGAACATATAATGTATTATTTGCTTCAGGGGTGCAGGTTTGTGATTCATCAGTTACAAAATTCACAGCACTCACCGTAGCACATACCCTCCCCAATGTCCATCACCAGCCACCCCATCCCTCCCCCCACCCCCCAGCAACCTTCTGCTTGTTTCCCGAGACTAAGCAGAAGTTCGTTATTTTGATGTAGTCCACTTCTCCTTTTTTTTTTTTTTTTAAGATTTTTAAGAAAATTTATTTGTCAGAGAGAGAGAGAGCACAAGCAGGCAGAGAGGCAGGCAGGGGGTGGGGGGAAGCAGGCTCCCTGGGATCATGACTGGAGCCGAAGGCAGAGGCTTAACCGACTGAGCCTCCCAGGCGTCCCAATTTGCCCATTTTTTAATCACCTGTGCTTTTGATGTTTTAGAGAAATCATTGCCAAATCCAACTTATAAAGCATTTCTGCTATGTTTTTATCTAGGATTTTTATAGTTTAAGCTCTCACATTTAAGTCTTCAATCATTTTGATTTTTGCACATGCTGTGAGATAGGGGTCCAGCTTGGCTCTTCTGTGTGTGGATTTCAAGCTTTCCCAGCATCGTTTGTTGACAAGACTGTCCTTTCTCCTCCCAGCGGTTTTGGCACTCTCATTCAAGGCATTTGGCCATACACGCAAGGGCTTATTTCTGGGCCGTCTGTCCTGTTCCTTTGGTCTAAATGTCCGTCTTTATGCCAACACCGCACTGTTTCGATCACTGTAGTTTTGTAATAACTTCAGAGATTTGAAATCAGGAAGTATGAGCATTCCAGTGCCGTTCCCCTTTTTCAAGATTGTTTTGGCATTTGGGGTCTCTTGCGATTCCATATGAGTTTTAGGATGGGTTTCTCAGTTTCTGCAAGAAATGCTGTTGGGATCTGGTAGAGACTGCGTTAAATCTACAGAGGCTTTGGTTAGTCCTGGCATCCTAACAGTGCCGTCTTCCGAGCCACGTACAGAGGATGTCTTCCCATTTATTTGTGTCTTTTTAAGTTTCTTCCAACCATGCTTCGTAATTTTCAGGGTACGGGTCTTTTACCTCCTTGGTTAAGTTTATTCCTAAGTATCGGATTCCTTTCGATGCCATTGTAAGTGGAATTGTGTTCTTAATTGACTTTTGAGATTTCATCATTAATGTACACAAATGCAACTGATTTGGAGTGTGGGATTTCATAATGGGGCAACACCGCTAAATTCATTTATTCTGACAGATTTTTGTTTCAGTGTAATCTTTAAAGGTTTTCTACACATACAGCCATGTCATCTGCAAACAGGTAATTTTACTTCTCCAATTTGGACTTCCTGTTGCCCTCCCTCCCTCTCTCCTTTCCCCACTTCCTTCCTGTCTCCCTTCCTTCCTTCGGTGGTTAGGACTTCTAGTATAATGTTAAGCAGAAGTGATAAAAGCGGGCATCCTTGTCTTTTTCCTGATCTTAGAGGAAAAGCTTTCCATCTTGCACCAGTATGTTATCCGTGGGCTTGACGTCTATGGCCTTTATTATGTTTGGGTGCATTTTTCTCTTCCTCATTTGCTGAGGCCCCGCTTTGACCTTTTCCTTTTTCCTCTGTCTTCAGTCTAGATGGAGACTGGCTTGTCCTCTTCCTTCCTGTGTTTTAAGGTGGACACTTGAAAGCAAGCGGCTTCAGTTTCCCTCCTTTGGAGAATTCCCCTCACAGTGCTCTTCCCGTTCCCGTGAATTTATCCGTTCACAGTGCAAACCTTTGTTGAGGTCGCATTGTGTGCCGGGCACGGCCACGGTGCGCTCCTGCCCACGGGAGTTTTCACCCATGTTATCTGAAGCTTCACAGGGGCCATCTGAAGCAGGAGGGGTCCCTGAGTCCGTGTCCAGCAGCAGAGGGACTTGCTCAAGACAGAGTGGCTCCCACGACTCTTGCATCAGCGCTGGCCTGCTGCTGCCTCTGTGTCCTGCCACAAAGCCATGCTGCTGGCCTCTGGGCTGTATGTAGGTGGAAAGGCCCCGGTCCCATCCTGAAGTCAGCTTTCTCCTCCTTGCATTGACAGAAGTCCTGGGCCCATGTCAAGAAGTGCAAAAACAACGTGCATCCCAGCCAGAGCTTGGTGGCTCAGCTGTCCGAGTGGGAGAAGGTCATCCTCGGAGACTCTGTCACAGACATCTTGGATCCGCTCTACTGATCTTCTCTGTGGTCCAGCTCCGGGTCCTGAGGGCCTCCCGGGGGTAGTGGGCCAGGCCGTGTAGCCGGGTTGGTGTGGAAAGAGAAGGCCTTTGCCGCCTGGAGTCCTGTGTCAGCCTCTTGCAGTTCTTCTTGGACTCCTTGTCCACACCCCGGAGCCGGTGTTCTCTGCCCAGACTCTGCGAGAACCCCCGTCCCAGGGTTTTCCCGGCCCACCCCCGCCGCTTGATGGAGGCTGCTTCTGGAAGAGCGTCAGCCCTCCCACGTGCCCCCATGACCTTCAGAGGCTGGCTGGGAGGAGCTCCCAAGGTTTCCCCCTGCCTTCGGTTGGCTCACAGGCTGTCAAAGTGCCTGTGCAGGGGTGGAGATCCGCCAGGCCCAGCCTTGGCCCAGGTGCCAGGCTCCGCAGCTCTGGGAGGCTCCTGGCACAAATACAGTCTTGTCTCACCCCGGGTCCCAGCCCTCCCCACCACTCTGCCGGTTGAAGCCATGTTCAGATTTCCTTTCCTTCCTCCCAAATCGTTTCCTCCTGGCTGGGTTCCTCAAGAAGAGATTTCCACCCCTCCTATCTCCTACACCCCTGTTTCTAGAAATTCCTCAGGTCTTAAAGGGAATTTTCTTCAGAATGCACTTCCCAGTGCTGGCTGCACAGAGGGAGAGGGCAGAGGATGGGACTGACAGGGAATTTAGGATGCCCATGTCATTCAGCAGACACTCCCTGCCCCCTGCGTGCAGCTGGGGAGGGACATAGAGGTGAAGGTCATCTTCCCTCCCAGGACTCTTTGCGGGGGGGGGGGGGGGGTCCCCCCCCTCCCCCATGGAAGCCCAAGCCCTCAAGGAGTGGGGTTTTGCTCTAAGGTAAGGCTTGTCCCGTGGACTCAGGCTTGGGATCAGTTAGAACAGGAGCCTGGACAGAGACTGGGAAGGCTGCAAGCGATGGCTCTGTGGGTTGGGGGCTCCAGGGCAGAGCCGTGGAAAGTTTCCGTCAGGGGCAAGATGTGGAATAGCTTGTGCGTTAGGCCCAGCCGTCTGCTGGCTCTGGAAGATCCGCCGCGGCGAGCCTGGGGTCAGGGCGACCGGCGGCCTCCGTAGAGGAGAGGTTCAGAATCCTCCCCCTGCAGAGGCTCCGCTTTCCCAAGGACGAGAGTCTTCGAGGCAGGGGTCACCTCCGTGCGCCTCGGTTTACTGCCAGCACGACGGGCCGGCGCTCTGTGGGCCGTTGCACGCGGCTGGCACGACCCGCGCAGCCCCGCGCCCGCCGAGCACCGCGGGGTGAGTGCCCCCTGCTGCCCTTGGCCCCGCCCTGGCCCCGCCCAGGGCCCCGATTGGCTCGGGGCCGGGGGCGGGGTTAGTGCGCTGGCGGCCGCAGGCCTTTTCCCATTGGTGGCGGCGGCGGCGCGAGCCCGGAAGCGGTCGGGGGCGGCGGCGGAGGCGGTGGAGGCTACTCGGGCGGGCCGGGGTTGCGGCGCGGTCCTCGACTCGGCTTGCCGGCGCGTGGCCCGGCAGCCATGCATCTCCCGGCCCCGGGCCCGCTGGGGGACTGCCTGCGGGACTGGGAGGAGCTGCAGCAGGACTTCCAGAGCATCCAGGTGAGTGCCGGTGCGGGCGCCCAGAGGCCCTGAGCTGTGGCTCTCTGGCTCGAGGTCAAGGGTCGGGCAGCCGCGGGTCAGGTAGTGGGGGGCTTGGGGTCAAGGGTCGTGGACCCTGGCGTCGCTCCAGAGGGTGGCGAGGCCCCGGGTCCTGGTGGTCCTAGCCGGACCCTCCCCTCGGCCTGGGTTCCGTGTCCGGCGCAGCCCCCACGGCCGCGACCCCAGCGGAAACCTGCGGAGCCTGGCGCACCTGGGGCCTTCGTGGAGGCCCCGGAAAGCGGCCCTGACCCAGCCCCGTCCTCTCCCAGGAGAGTGGCCGCCTGAGTCGAAGCCGGCCCGGCCCAGTCTTGGGTCAGTCACTCAGCAAACATGCTGGGGGCGCCGGCGTGGCTGGAGCCGCCCTGGGGCAGCGCTGGGGTCTGGGCTGAGTGCGGCGAGGGAGCGGTCCGGAGGGGGAGCGGTCCGGAGGGCCCGGCCCAGCCAGGGCGAGTGTCCAGGGCAAATGCCTGGGTGGGGGCGGTGCCCGTCCAGGGTGAAGGACAGCACCCGCCGAGGCAGGGTTGTGTGGCCGCTGGAAGGAGAGCGAGGGGAGAAGCGGGTGGGCCAGACCCTCCAGGGAGCTCAGGGGCCTGGGCCGGGTAGGAACCTTTCGGATGCCGCCAGGGAGCCACGGGAGGAACCGTGGGGATCTGGCTCGTGTGGACCCTGCGGTTCTGTGGGGAGGCAGCAGGGAGACCGCTTGGCTGGTCTCAGACAGGAGAGAAGTGGTTGGCAGACAGATGTGGCCCGTGTTGGGTTTTTACGGGGCGTGGTGGCCCCTTCAGAGCATGAGAAACAAGACCTGGGAAGGACAGAGCCCAGACAGCTGTGGGCTCGTCCTGCCTTTCTCTTTCCTGGGCCGCTTCCAGCCCCTTCCTGCCGCCCCCAGGCCTGACCAAGGCTGCTAAGGCTACTGCTCCTGCCCGAGTGCCGGGCCGGGCAGACCTACTTCCCAGCCTGGCCACCCCGGCCTGACCTTCTTCGCACCGCCCCTGGTTGTCTCCAGGCTGCTCCTCTGGAAACTGACCCACCAGGGCAAAGTGCTCTGGGAGTCTTTGGGCCAAAGGTGCGGGGGGAGGGGTAAAAGGACTGGTCTCCACGGCAGGAGTTCTAAGGGCTGAAGCCTGATGACCTTTAACCCGGGAGGCAGGCTGCTGGGACAGCCCCGGCTCCCCCTGCACCAGCAGGCTGGGCAGGCAGGAGGATCTGAGAGATCCACAGTGGCTTCAGGCAGCGGGACTGGTCCAGAAGGCAGACCCTTGAGCCTGGAATCCAGACTCCGGGTGGGACAGAGAGGGGTGGGGACGCAGCAAAGCTTCTGGGACCTGGTCTGTTTCCGGGATGGGGTGCTGTGAGAGCTTCCGGGCTTGCAGGCGGAGCCCCCTCTCCTGGCCTGCCTCGGGGAGACGGCGATCTCGGGGTCCCTCGGCTGGCTGACTCCTTTCCCGCTCAGACGCCCCCGGGGAGCCCCGCCCTCTACCGGGCCGGCCCCCAGCTCGCTCTGGCCCCCTGCCCCTCCCCAGGAGACCCACCGGCTGTACCGCCTGAAGCTGGAGGAGCTGACCAAGCTGCAGAACGGCTGTACCGGCGCCATCGCTCGGCAGAAGAAGCAGCTCCAGGAGCTCGCTCTCGTCCTGAAAAAGTGAGGACCCCCCTCCCCCATGGCCCCCCAAGCCTCCATACCCCCTGGCCTAGGGCTGGGGCTGGGGGTCAGATCTGTGGTGGGCGGAGAGCAGGCACTGACGCCTGCGTGTCCCGGGGCATGGCTTCTCCCCTCTCCCCTCCCCACGCCCCGGGGGGCCACGTTCACCTCCTGCCCCGCAGGTGTCCTGTGTGATACCCCAGGGGAAGGGGGGCCGCTCCGACTCTGGCTTCCGTGCCCCCACCTAGATGCAAACCCTCCCTGCAGTCGGGGGCCAGGGAGGCTGCCCAGGAGCTGGAGAACCAGATCAAGGAGCGCCAGGGCCTCTTCTTCGACATGGAGGCCTATTTGCCCAAGAAGAATGGGTGAGACCCCTTTCCCCCAAGCCCAGCGCGCAGATGCCCCTGGGAGGGCCGCCTGAAGCGTGGGTTCGTCTGCTCCGTCCCTCAGCCAGCAGATGGTGCCTGCACCCGCCGGAGGCCGGGCAGTCAGGCTGGGGACAGCTCGGGCGGTGGGGACAGCTCCCGGAGATGGGGGTTTTGTGGCGGAAGGACAGGGAGTGGAGGAGCGCAGTGAGGGACGCCTCGGCCAGCTTGGAGGTCAGGGAGAGCAGAGAGGATCGAGGAGGGAGCCTGGCAGGCGCGGGAGGGTGGAAACCGCGCGTGTGGCCAGAGCTCAGGGTGGCAGGTGGTGATGAGACAGGAGGCGAAGCCCGGCTTCGGGCCCAGCAGGCTGGGCAGAGCGACCCTCAGGTCAGCCACAGTCACCGAGGGGGATGGCAGGGGCCAGTGCACAACCCTAGGGTGAGTAAAAATCACCCAGCGGAGGCCTGGGGCAGTAAGACGGCCGCGAAGGGCCATGTCCCTGGGGACGACAGGGGTAAGGGGTGGCCAGTAGCCCCAGATCAGACGGCCCGGGCGGTCAAGAGCCGCACAGGAGGGACAGCGTCTCCGGGGAGTCCGGGGGAGGAGCGCTTCACGGGACGGTGGAGGTTGCTAATGGGGGGACAGAGAGCTGGGGGGCCAGGCGAGTGCAGCAGCTCTTCAGAAGCTCAGCCGTGAGCAGAAGCGGATGCTCGGGGGTTGGTGTTACTCGGTACCCAGGGAAGACTGGAGCACCTTTCCCTGCTGAGAGCCGGGGCCAGGGCCCTTGGAGCACAGACCCAGCAAAGGGAAACCCCTGGGGAGGTGGGAAGGGCAGGGCATGGGCCCTTCTCACTTGCAGTGGGAGAGTGTTTCAAGCCGCTGAGGAGGGTCCCCCCGCCCCCCAGAGATGTCAGCCTGGAGGGAGGGTTTGACAAGGTCTCTGCGGGGATGGTGTAGGGAGCCGGTGGCGACGCTGAGAGGCGGCTGGGCCAAGTGCCTGCTGTACCTCATCGTCTCTTCGCAGCCTGGGACAAGTCCCTTAACCGCTCTGAACCTGTGCCCCCAGCCCGAGGGGGAGCAAGAGGTCACGTGCGGGTGCGCCATGTCGTGCACACGTGGGACATGGTCGCCTCTTGGGGTTCGTCTGGCCAGATGGGCTCCGTCGGTGGGAGTGATGGCGGCAGGAGGCTGGGGGTGGTCGGGTGGACAAGAAAGTGGCTGCCGCGGAAGGGGGCCCTGGGAACTCGGCTGGCTCGGGAAAGGAGACCAGGGTTGGGGGGCCTGGAAGCCTCAGTGAGGGCCAGGGTCTGCCTGGTGAAACCGGCTCGGGAGGCCGGGCACTCGGGGTCAGAGCGCGAGCAGTTTGAGGCGGCCCTTCCCGGCTGGGAGGGGGCCCTGCTGTGGCCCTGGTGCAGGTCCCCCGGTGCACTCAGGGCAGAAGGTTCCCAGAGACCATGGGAACCCTGGGGTGGGCGTGCACACAGCCACCGAGTCCCACCCAGGCCCATGGGGGCCATAGGAGCTATGCGCCCAGCTTCCACGGGTGGGAAAGCCCGGCCGCCCTGGAGGCCCTTTGGTGGGCTGCTGGGGGTTGGGAGGAAGACAAGGGAGGAGATGTTGGTTTACCCAGGAGCAGGCCTGGGGAGCCGGCAGAAAGGCTGTGCCCCCATGTTTCCTTCCTGTGGAGCCGGTCTGCACTGCCCCCCAGGTTCAGAGCCTTAAGCTGCTGGGGGCGTCAGGGTAAAGCTGGTGGCCCCCCCCGCCCCGGTCTGTGCCACTGGCTTTCCCCTCAGTGGGGCCCTCTCCTTACCTGGTGTCCCCCTCCCGCAGGTTGTACCTGAGCCTGGTCCTGGGCAATGTCAACGTGACACTCCTGAGCAAGCAGGCTAAGTAAGTGGATGTCCCAACCCTGCGCCCCACCCTCCCGGGTCCTTGCCGTTCTGCCTCCCGCTTCCCGGGCTCGGCCCTGGGGTGCTGGCCCCGAGTCGCCTGCGGAAGCCCGTCCGGACCAGGAGCTTCCCTCTGGGCGGAGGCGGGGTGGGCCCCGCCAGCACCCCAGCCTGTGCCCCGGGTGTGCGCCCACCCAGGTTCGCCTACAAGGACGAGTACGAGAAGTTCAAGCTCTACCTCACCATCATCCTCATCCTCATCTCCTTCACCTGCCGCTTCCTCCTCAACTCCAGGTGGGTGTCCTGCCGCTCGGGGCCCCACCCCGGTCCCTGCCGGCGCCGGCGCCCACCCTCTGTGCCCTCCGCAGGGTGACGGACGCCGCCTTCAACTTCCTGCTGGTCTGGTACTACTGCACGCTCACCATCCGCGAGAGCATTCTCATCAACAACGGCTCCCGGTGCGCGAGGCCGGGGCCGGGCCTGCTCCGGGGCGGTTGGGGGGGCCGCCGGAGCCACCCGGGGAGGCGGGGGGCCGCGGGCCTCGGGGGACTGGCTTCCTCCCACCACAGCCTGGCATCCCGTCCCCGAGCTCCGATCCTCGGGGCCGAGGGGACGGGAGTGACAGCCGCTCCCCACTACAGGATCAAAGGCTGGTGGGTTTTCCATCACTACGTGTCCACTTTCTTGTCGGGAGTCATGCTGACGTGGTGAGTGTCCAGACTGGCTCCCGGGGCGTGGGGGTTGGGGTGCGGGGGAGCGCGGGGCAGACACAGGGTGTGCCTGAGCTTCCTGCCCTTTTCTCCGCTTTCTGCCTTAGGCCCGATGGCCTCATGTACCAGAAGTTCCGGAGCCAGTTCTTGTCCTTCTCCATGTACCAGAGTGAGTGTCTCGGGGGGCCCTGCTCCACGGGAACCCCCACCCACAGGGAGCAGGCTGGGGGCGCGGTGGGCACTTCGGGCCCCAGCCCAGTTCCGCTGCTCCCCGGCCCCAGGCTTCGTGCAGTTCCTGCAGTACTACTACCAGAGCGGCTGTCTATACCGCCTGCGGGCCTTGGGCGAGAGGCACACCATGGACCTCACTGTGGGTGAGTCGGGCGCAGCCTCCGCTCCCGGGCATCCTGACGGGGGCCTTTCCCGACCACGCGGGGCTGAGACCGTGTCCGCCCCTCCCCCCGCAGAGGGCTTCCAGTCCTGGATGTGGCGCGGCCTCACCTTCCTGCTGCCCTTTCTCTTCTTCGGACACGTAAGTTGTCTCTGCCCGGCCCCCGCCCCGTGCGTCCGGCCGGCGTCCCCGGCGCTGGCTGTGGGCCGTCGCGGGCATGGGCTTCGGTCTGAAACCCTCCATCCCTCCCAGTTCTGGCAGCTTTTCAACGCGCTGACTTTGTTCAGCCTGGCCCGGGACCCCGAGTGCAAGGAGTGGCAGGTGAGCCCGGGGCCCTGGGCTGGGGGGGCGGGGACGCCGCAAGGGCCGCCTGGCCCCGTCCTCACCCCGCTTCCTCCCCCCGCTTCCTCCCCCAGGTGCTCATGTGCGGCTTCCCCTTCCTCCTCCTCTTCCTCGGCAACTTCTTCACCACCCTGCGGGTCGTGCACCAGAAATTCCACAGTCAGAGGCGTGGGAGCAAGAAAGAATGAGTCTGGGCCTGCCTGCCCGGCTCCCTCCGGTGCCCCTGGCCCGGCAGGGGCTTCTGTCCCCTTTGCTGGTGCGGTAGGGGGCTCGCCTCATGCGGGAGGGTCTCTTCTGCTCTCCCTGGGGTTTTGTGGGCCCTGTGGGCCCCGAAGGCGCTGCCGGAGAGGAGAGCCGGGCCTGCAGGGAGCGGGGGGCCAGCAGCCTGCATAAAGGAAGCGTGGCAGAGAGGCGCCCCGAGGTGTGTGCTCTCCGAAGAGTCAGGTGGGGCCTCGGCGCCACCACCGCATGGCCTCTCCGGGTTCTGAGTTAAGTAGACCCGGGGGAGACCCCAGACCTACTCAAGCAATAGCAAATACAGAAAACAGAACTTTATTCCAAGGATCAGAGATTATTTAAAATTATTTACAGTCATTGAAAATAACGTGGAGGGGTTGGGGCTCGGCCGAGCCACGCAGAGCCCCGGCTGTACAGCCCCCAAGGCCTGAGTGTTCCCCAAACACCCACCCCGGGGCCTGGACCGGTCCCCGCTGCCGGCCCGCCTCCCAGAGCGGGGCCCTGCGGAGACCCCCCCCCAGGAGACGGGGGAGGGAGTGAGGGTGGGGATCCCCGGGAAGCTGGGCTGGGGACCCGCAGGGCCGGCCTAGCTCCACACATCCAGGGAGTAGCGGCCCTTGGTCATCAGCTTCTTGACGTAGTCCACGGCCTGCGCATGCTCCATGGCCCCCCCGTCGGCCACGATGTCGTAGAAGGTGTTCTGCACGTCCCTCGCCATGTTCCGAGCGTCCCTGGGGCAGGAAGGAAAGCGCTGGGCAAGGGCCTTCCCACGGGTGGGCCGGCCTCCTCCCCCCACCGCGCCCTCCCTCACCCGCAGACGTAGATGTGGGCGCCGGCCTCGTGGATCAGCCGCCACAGGTGCTCCTTGTCCCTCCGCAGTAAGTGCTGCACGTAGACCTGGGGGTGAGGGCACACCGTGAGGGGGACGGTCCCGGCACCGTGGCACGGGGGCCGGCCCGAGGCCTCACCTTCTGCGGCTGCTCCCGGGAGAAGGCCACGCTGAGCTGGGTGAGGGAGCCGTCCTTCTGGAACCCGGCCAGCTCCTCGCGGTACAGGTAGTCCTCGTCGGCGCGCCGGCAGCCATAGTACAGGAGCGTCTCCCCGACCTCCTTGCCTGCGGGGGCCGGGGTGGCGGGCAGGGGTGAGGTGGGGCCTCGGGGCAGGGGTGGGGGTGTGCGCCCGGCCCCACGGGGCCCGTCCGGGGCGCGCGTGCTCACCCTGCTGCCGCAGCCAGGCCCGCTCCTGGATGAAGCCGATGAAGGGGGCCACCCCGGTGCCGGGGCCCACCATGATGACGGGCGTGGTGGCCTTGAAAGGCAGGCGGAACTGGGACTTGCGGACGAACATGGGCACCAGGGCCCGGCGGCCGTTCTCCCTGGCCGGCTCCTTGGCCCGCAGCCAGCTGGTGGCCACGCCCTTGTTGACGCGGCCGGCCTTGGTCTCGTACTCCACGGCCACGGCACAGATGTGCACGGAGTTGGGGTGGACCTGGTGGGGGCGGGGCAGGGGTGAGCACGCCCCAGGCCCTGGTCCCTGGGGCCTGTTGCCGGAGTCTCCTCTGTACTGGGGTGTCCCCCAACCCCCCGCTGGGGGCCCTTTGTGGCCCCCACGGCTCCTTGGAAGCCCCTGCCCAGCAGCCACCCGGCCGGCTCGACACAGGCCGAGGGCCGTCAGCGGCCCCGCACCTTGGAGGACGAGGCGACGGAGTAGTAGCGGGCCTGGAGGCGGGGAAGCAGCTCGCACAGGTGGTCGATGGGGGGCCGCAGGGACGGGTAGTCCTGCAGGATGGCCAGGATGTGCCTCCGGGCCTCCACCACCCAGCTCAGGTACAGCTCCTGGGGAGGACGGGAGCGGGGTGAGACGCGGGCGCGGGGCACACGGCTGAGGCAGCAGCACCCAGTGTGGGCAGCGGAAGGGCAGGGCCCACCTTGCCCTCGCCCGAGGACGAGGCCATCTTGCGCAGCTGCTCCTGCTCGGAGGGCTCGGAGGCGTACTGGGCCAGCTCGTAGAGCACGTTGGTGCGCGGCGGGTTGGTGATATCCAGGTAGTAGGTGAGGGCCGTGCGGTACGACGTGGGGCAGGGGAAGGGGTGCTTCTTGTTGGACTCCTCTGCGGGGAGAGAGGACGACCGGGCTCAGTGGCCACTGACCTGTGGGTCTGCGCCAGCACCTGGATGGTGGGGGCTCGGTGGGGCGGGGGGGCATGGATTTGGGGACTCACCGTCGAGATTGTTCAGGGACATGATGACGTCCAGGTCGGCACCCAGGATCTCGCCGAGCTGGCTGACCAGGGTAGAGTCATTGGCTGGGTAAACGGCCACGTGGTCCCCGGATTCATACCTGGGGGGTCGAGGGGAATGTGGGGCTCAGAAGGGGTCTGGGCCGGTGGCGAAGGCAGCTCGAAGGCCCTGGGCGGGCTGAGGCAGGGGGCAGCCGCCGGCACCTGAGTTTGGAGTCGGAGATGTCTAATTCCAGGTGCATGAGGTGACGCTCGGTTCCCTGGTTCAGCTTCCGGTTGGTGGTGACCGCAGCCAAGAATGGATTCTTGGCATCGAAGGGGCTGGGTGGGGAAGAGAGCGGTTCTGTGATTGGCCGGGGCTCGCCTGCATCTCCCTGCCCCCACGGGATCCTTCGGGTTTCACAGGACACAGGGAACCTCAGAGCTGACCTCCAGGGCCCCAGCAAGGCTCTCCCAGTTACGTAAAAGGTTCTTCCAGCCCGATCCAAAGCAGTGCCCCCCACAAACCCCCCAAAGCGGGCAGAGCTAGGTTATCAGTTCCCTGTTTGCAGATCAGGAAACAGAGGCTGGCCCCTAAAACCCAGGGAGACCCTCTACACACTACCTGTGGGCTGTGTGCACAGGAGAACCAGATCCCCTTGACGATGGCACCCCCAGACCGAGGGGCCCGGGCCCCCCGGCAACCGCGGAGCAGAGCTCCTTGACCCTGCGTGCCCTGCACCGGGCACCAACAGAGCTGAACCCTGCACAGTCACTGAAACGTGCGCTTCCCTCTTAAAGCAAGGCCGCTGGTCTAAAATCCTGGGGATACTGGGGGGACTTACCCTGGGCGGCACCCAGGGGTAAGACGAGTCAGGGGCCCAAGAGAGGAATGCTGTGTTTAGACAAGGTCCGGATACCGAGGTGTTAAGGCAGGTGAGCCCTTCTGCCAAAGTTCGGCCAGACTCACGCTGTCCCGGTCGGGGCACAGATCTTGGGCCTCCCCGCCCCAGGGTCTTTACGGAGCTGTCTCATGGGATGTGCTAATGGCGCAGGGCCTGTCTCCCAGCTGCTGTGACCTGGCCTGGGGGACCACTGGGAGAGGCCAGGGCAGCCTCCGCCTCTCTGCTCTAGGCCTTATGCCCTCCTGGGGGGTGGGGATGAAATCGTGGGTGCCCCCACCCCTGCCCGCTCCGGGTGAGGGTGGAGGTGAAGGGACATGGGACTGCCAGGTACTCCGGGTGCCCAGAGCTCCCACGTGCACGCTCAACTCACGGTTTCTGGTTCTCGTAGCTCTTCAGACGGCCCATCTCCCCCGCATACACCTTGGCGGGGTCTATGTCTGGGTGGACCACAAGCTCATACTGGCGGATGCTGGGAAGGGGAGACGGTGAGATGGGGAGGGGCCTGAGAGGAGGGAGGCTGCCTCAGGGACAGAGACCACACCTTCCAGGGGGAGGGCCTAGTGGTGGTGGGAAGGAAATCGAGCGGACAAGGAGGCAGGGAGGGATGGGGCAGCCCAGTTTGCCACGGGCTTTGAGGCCATTCCATAAGAACATAAGGAATCCCCCCGCCGCCCAGCATTTTCGGGCAGAGCCCAAGTGCTGGGACCTGGGGCCCTCGTGCTGTGCCTGAGCTGCTCCTGGCTTCTGGTGTCCTCCCTGGGGCCCCACCAGGCCAGCTCTCCCCGCAGCCCACGGGCACCATCTCACCTAGACTCCTCTCCGGTGGCCTCCACCCCGAAGTGCTCGCACACGGCCGGCCAGAACTGCTCTCGCCATGTGATGAAGTCCTCCTCCAGGCTGGAGACGAGAGGGAATGAGCCCAGCCTTCGGGAGCCCCCGGCCCCACGCAGCCCGAGGGCCGCTCAGGGACGTAACCCAAGGCGCCGGGCAGCATCTGGAGGGTCTGTGCTAACCGGGTGCAGCTTCCCTCTGCGCCGGGCTGGCCGAGAGGAGGGGGCAAGGCAGAAAGGGGGACAGGCACGGGGACCGCCTTCCTTTGCCCTGGGCGACGCCTGGCAGGAGACTTGCTGAGGTGTGGCTTTGCGCTCCCCTCCCCTCGTGTGCACAGTCGGCCCTAACCCCGTGACCCCGTGGGTTCCGGGACAGGGGACCAGGCACTCACTTCCCATCGTCATCGCCCATGCCCAGCTCGAAGATGCGCTGGGCACCGAGCTGCTCCAGCCGCTTGTCCACGTACTTGCCCATGGCATTGAAGTGCTCGTAGGTCTTGTTGCCAAGACCAAACACCTGTGTGGACAGAGGCAGGTCTGAGGCTAGGTCCGGGGTCAGGGATGAGTACCCCCACCCCTCATGCCACAGGCTCAGGCCTCCATGGCTGCTAGACACTTGGCACTGTGAGGTGGGCCACTTTGGCCCCTGGAAGTGGCTGGGCTTTGGTGACCCGCAGCCTCTAAGCCTCAACCCTGGGTGGGGCAGCGAGGAATTCTCTCACACACACACACACACACACATACCCGGTGCTCCTGGGCCAGCCTGGTCCACCTTTCTCGCCTGTATTCTCCTGCACCCAGTGTCCCTGGGAGCAAAGTGTGTGCATGGGGGGCAGACGAGAGGGCTGTCCCAGGAGCAGCCTTCCCCGGGTCTCACCCCCAGGTCCCCCCCAGCTTGAAGCCCCCTGTTCTCAATCCTGGCTGATGAGAATGAGGTGGGAAGGGGAGGCTTTCTGCTTGGATACAGAGGGGGGCCGGATGCCCAGGGGAGGTGCCACAGGCTGGGCAGGCTGCTGCAGGGAAGCTGGGGTGACTCACCGCATACTTGACTCCGGAGAGGTCCAAGTCGGTCTCCTGGAGCCAGTCATAGAAGTCCTGGGCATTGTCCGTGGGGTCCCCCTCACCATAGGTGGCCATGCAGAACACGGCCAGGGAGT